GCGAGATTACGCTTTCCGCCGATTCGATAAGAATTCGGAAACTCGAAGAGCGGCGGAGTTACCGGATTTCTTTCCCGTGGAAAAATATGAAAGCCAGGCGCGATTAGGTGGCTTCGGGGAGCAGTTGGCGCTATCACGCGAGTGTTCTGCAATTTATTGTAAAAACCGACTATCGTTGAACCTCGATTGACCGGTACAGAAGGTCCTAAGTACGAGATTATCCGTCTACGCGTTATCACGAGACTTTGGCAATAGGTTTTCGTCCATCGTGTAAAGTTCAATAACGGAAAGCAGATAAATCCGCGCCAAGTTGAACGAACTGCCTTTGTGTTTCCTCATCGGTTAAAGGTTAAGGTATGAAATCCGTTACGTCGATGAAGAACGGATTAATCGCTGTTTTTCGCCACTGAGACTTGCCCTTTTTCCGATACAGCGATACCGATAGGTTTCAACTTCCTCTACCGATAGTCACGTATCGTATTAGGGGATGCGTCTGCGCTCCCCTCGTGCCCACGGTGCATTACTTCCAGAGATAATTACCTTCGTGTATTTATAGGAATTCGATTACCCGCCGATTTTTTACCTATGCTTGCCGAGGTATTGCGCAATCGCAGAAATTCACGCCGATTACCTTCGCCGACGTTGGATCGATAATCTGCGAGATATCCGCTGATCTCGGCGTATCTAACCTCCGGTCACTTATCTCGGCGTATAATTTCGCCGAACGCGATAAAAATCGCTCGCGTTCCTCCGATCGACCGGCAATCCTATCGAACGTATACTCGTTCCGATTCGACGGCAGGTGCGAACTATTTAACCACTCGATACGATACCGAAGGTCCGTTTCAATAAATCTTAATTAATTTCTCGATAGAGAATCTGGCCGCTGTATCCGATTAAAGGTATCCACGGGCGCAACCGGTCGCGAATAATTTTCCGCGCGCTCCCGCCTGCCGGTTCCGTTTTATCGCGCGTACAAGTGTAACGAGAAACGAGTTTCGCGGCCGAAACACGAAAGCACGGATCGGGACAGGGATCGGTTTCGGACAATCGGCCGGTATTGGCGTGATTTTGCGCCATTAATCTTGCCTCGACAATTAACCGGCTGCAGGGCTAACGCAATGGCCGGCTATTAATTACAATCAACGCTATCTCACGCACACGGCCCCGATACGACGTTTAATCTCGGGCCCGTAGGAAACTTTCGTTCGCCGAATTCGTATCGGCGATTTTTCGCCTAATAGCTTATAGATCGCGTCGATATTTCAAAATTCGCCAGGGTTTCCATTCGTTTCGCCAGCTAATCCGAAATTAGTTCGTTCCCCTCGATAAAGTCGCGTCCTCGAGGAAGGCGGGAAAGAAGGGAACCGAGATTCAGGTGCGACGCGAGATCACCCTAAGCCCTGTCTGCGACTCGCTTCTCTGGGTTCACGTCGTACCCGACAGATGCCGTGGTTATGAGGATTTTTTCTCGGCGTGCCTTCGCGCTGGAATTTTTGAAATATTTTTTGTTTTATTTTTTCAAATTCGCGCAATTTTGCACGGCGATTTATTATCTTCGAAATGGACGGAAGCGGTATTAATAATTCTCGTGTCTTCGCGACCCCGAGTAAGGGGTAAAAACTCGTATCCCCCGATACGAAGCAGCCGTTTCGAAAAGACAGGTCGCGACGTTAAACGCTTACCTGGAATATTTGTCACAGGGCGTGCACGCAGTACATAACTGTCGCAGTTATTATGAATTACGGCTCGTTTTCTCCGCGACCCGATACCATATATTTGATTTAATGAGGTAACAAGTGCACCCAGACCCATAGCAAGAACCCGAACAGGTGATTAATCTCAGCCTGATTTCTACCCGAGTGCCCTGCCTGGACGTGTCCTACTTTGTTTAAAGTGACATCTATTTCAAAGTAACAGCGTCTTCGATCGTTAAACCTCGTCTGGATGCTGGAACCTAACCGTTTTACCCTGTTTCCCATCGGCGGTAAATTAATCTTCCATCTACGGGTCGCCGTATTCCCGCATTCTCAGCGATACCACCTCGCGGATTCCGTTTCATCGATCAACGCGTTAATCAGAGCTTTCTGCAGTGTATCCAAGAAATTTCAAGGACGTTAACCCCTTGCCATAGGATTTAAGATTCAACGGCATGGTCCCAAAACGTAACAAACCATGGGCGTGACACGCGGTGTTCACATTTGGCCCGGCCGGCGTGCCACGTGCCAGACCCGTGATAGTCACTATTGACCCGATCGATGTACCACGGGTCAGACTCGTGATAATCAGTTTCGGCGCGAAAACCTGACCACGAGCCTCAGACGTGGTTATTCGAGCAAGCGAAAGTATACAGCGATTTATATCGCATCTAATAAAAACGATAAATGAATTACAACGTCCGAAACATCCATAGTCTCGTTATCGATGATAACCTGGGATTATAAAGAGTAAAAAGAATCAGAGTACCTAGGATTAAATAAAGTACACTGTTCAGATACAACGATTCTAGTGTTCCACGGATTAAGGAAGTAACACGCGCAGTTGTTTAGTTTCTTCTGGTAATTTTCTGAAATTACCCAACTGCCGATCGTGCCTATAACCCCGAGCTGGAACGAGTTAATTCGTCATTCCGAGTTAAAACGTGTTTCTATGCGCGAAATGTATTCGGAAGCTAACTCAGCGAAACGTCGGAGGAATCCGAATTAGAGATCTCGAGGTAACGAGGATGGAATCCCTTTTCCGTACTATCGACTTCTTGCCTGGCATTGGCTCGGACCCATTCTATCCGGGGGATTAGTCACGCGCGTAGAGTTCCCGCGGGCTGTGAACCGAGCGATTGATTCACGTGCTCGGCGGGCCGGGGGAACCAGGAAGGATAAGGCGGTAAAAAGTGTCGGAAGAACGGGGAGCAAGAAAGAGAGAAGAGAACGGCGGTACCCTGCGCTAATGCACGTGGAGGGAGGAGGAGGTGGAGGTCGGAGGGGCTCGGGTCCGTTGATTAGCGGATATCTTAATTACCGATTGGCCGCGCGGACTAATTAAATCGTAACTCAATCAAGGGCCGACCTGGCCCCCACGGTGCCCCACGGTGCCCCGCGTGGCCGCACCGCGGTTTTACGACGGCGTCCGAATGCTTTAAGATCTGCCGTGCGCGTACGTGTCGTGCTCGCTGCATAAATGATCCGAACGCATCGGATATTGCACTGTGCGAGGGCCACGGACAGTGTTCCCTCGGCCTCCGGCCACTCTCTCCTCTTCGTCCTCCTTTTTACTCCTACACGTGTCCCTTTTTCTCATCGCACAGCCGCCGTCTCCTCCTCCGCTCGTGGTGAACCGAACCGCTGCTCGGACCGGCGGGGCATTATGTCGGGACGAAATAAAAAGTACAGTAATTAGTAGTACCTACCGCGGTGTTCCCCAGGTGAACGATGTCCTCCGGATCCTCCTTCTTTTTCGCCCGTGTTCCACCGACATGGGTCGGATCGTGAATTTTCCTCGCGCGTCTCGCCGCCATACTAACCGCCGCCTGGCCGTCGCGGCCGATCGAAACGGATAGACTCGCGAATAAACGAGAGGTTGGAGCGAGTTGGGTACTCCCGGCGAATAAAACAGGACGATCACGCTGCACGATGGTAGTCGAATAATGGGACTCGGACGTGGCGAACGAATAGAGCCGGGGGTTGAAGGGGGCTGCACGTGGACGTACGGAATCGTGTCATTAGATCCGTAATCGCGCGGCGCGGTATAAATTATGTACTCGGGACGCGTCATCGAGATAATACAGAAAAATGGCTTCGGCTGAGAGGAAGCCGAGGTGCCTCGGAGATGAAGACGTTGTCGTGCTCCCCGTCGTTATTGGTGTGGCTTCCAGCCGCAGGAAACCCCTCGTGGGCCCCCTATTTCTCTCTTTTTCCCCACTCTGCCGTAACGCACATTCGTTAGCATGGATAATGAATCACCGGCGCGTCCCCGTGCCCCTGTCGCGCGGTAGGACGAAGGAAGAATTCGCTGGTGGTTGGCCGTCGCGACGACAACGAGCCGCGGTTACATTATAGGCCTCTTCGCGTTTGGTACCGTGTCCCGACGCTTTCGGGGATACGAATCGTGAAACGGGGCGGGAAAGGGGGCCCGGGGGGCCATTAAAAGCAGCGGGTACCTGCTTCGCCACGCTCGCGTCTCTGTTTCACGCGCTTTTTCCAACCGAGTTGACCGGTTGCTCGACGAAATTTCGACTCTGTAATCGTGGTAATGAATCACCGTCGATTATTTCGTAAGGGGCTTATATACCGGCGACAACGATGCCTCGCTGAATTCCATGAATAAATTTTCTTCTTCTGGTCATCTGTACCTAAGTAGGGACCGTTGTCGGATTCGTTATTGAACACGGGTGTCCCTACCCATTCGGAGGACGACTTTATCGGCCAGAGAGGCGCAGAGCGGCGCAGAGCGGCGCAGTTCGGCGGCAGCGTCGGTAGCGTCCACGCGAGGATACGTCCCACCGATGCTGCAGCCTGACACAGACAAAACGCCGGTATCGGTGAACGCGAATTTTATAACAGATTGCCGTATCGTTGACCATCGCGGCCTCGAAACTGGCGTTCTTTATGTTTGTAATAGCGATCGTTTTATCATGACCGGTCGCCGTTGGCGGAACGGTTAACCGCTCCGTACGTCGGCCAATTAATTATCGCCGGTCTACATTAATCTCGGCAAATTGGCCGAAATCGTCCGAGTGGCGCGCGCGCGTGCGATTTATAGCGCCTCCCCTATTCATCGGTTGCCGGAGAAAAAGAGCAAGAAATACGGTTCGTAAAACAAACGCTCTCTTCATGGTCGTGGACCGAGCTGCGGCCTAAAACTAATCTCCCAGTGCCACCCGCGACGTCGCTTCTCGTGGAACCCGGCAAAACGCACCTGTTAGTCCGAGGAAACGATTCCTCGCATGGTCGGGTGATCGATTAATAGAAATATTACACGGGACTAAAGGGACGGTGAAAGATTTATTCCAGATCCTGAAGAATCGATTTTTGAGTCTCGTAGATGGTTCGACAGGACGCTTCCGTTTGTTCTTGCTCCTCAGGCGTGTACGTGTGACGAAGCAGCGTTTCTATGCCGTTTCTACCGACGATACAGGGTAGGGACATGTACACGTCCTTTTCCAGACCGTGTCGACAACCCTGCAAGCGATCGTGGACGTTGACCGTGCGAAATCGAGGAAACTCGGTCGAGTAGCTACCTTCAGATACGTGGACACCGTCATGCACACGCAGGTGTTTCGTACGACGGCGTCTACCACCTCTGCAGCGCAGATACCGATACCCCAGCAGCGATAGCCCTTCCTCGAGATAAGGTCGTTGTCGCAGTCGATTACCTTCGCGTGCAGTTCGCCCCACGATTCTGGATCCGATTTCGTACCGATGTCCTTGTTGATGTCCTTCAGTTTTATCCCCATCACCGTCACGGCCGACCAAATGGGCACTGCTCGTCGCCGTTTAAAGAGGTTTTAAGCTTCGGTTAGAGCGAACGTTACTCGGTTGTCATGCTTTACCGGACGTGGGCCCGTTTTCGCAAATTACGGCGGCCTGCACCGAGCTCGCCGAAATTCCAAGCTTCTGCGCGATGAAGTACTGAAACCTACAGCTGTCCAGGAACGTTCCCAGTCCCAGGACGCGGTGCGGCGGGAAGCCCGAGAGCTTCATGGCAGCGTACGACAGTATGTCCACTAGAACGCGACGAGACAACGCGTGGTTCCACGACATGCGATGTTCGAGATATCGGAAGGGTGTCTGGATATAAGGTATACCTGGCGCCGTCACGATCAGGAGCACACTGTTCGGCGCATACTTGCAGACCTTCGGAATCACGTTCTTGAAGGTGCTCAAATTCTGCTCCAACAGGGTGTTCGCGTCCAGATTGTTCTGGGGTCTATCGCCCACGGTGATCACGCACACCGCCGCGTCCCTGGCCATGGTGTACTCTGCGATGATCCCAAGGGGTTGACGAAAAGGTCGTGACTTTGTTCGACGATCTCGCGTAGCATAAAGCTTGTCCTCACCTTTGGTGCCTATGATCTTCGGGTTGCCCAGGTACGCGGCCGCGTGGCTGATGTCTTCCGCCTCTGCTTTCGCCAGTTCCTCGTTCGAGTCTATGAACACCACCTCCGAGGCTAGTTTCTGCAACGCGGAGTACCGGGCAGATTATAAAGAGTAATTAACGGTAACTAGCCGACGGCCGGAGTTATTACGCACTCGAAATCGTTACGCAATCAAGACCCCCGGGAATCGCATTAAGAGTATACGTGGTCGCGCGCGCGCGATCGATCGCGCCATTCGAGCGATCCCTTAATGCGAAGGATCGTTAGGGTCTGATCGTCTCTTCGCTCGAGCGAGACCAGGTACTCGCGAGCGTACAGGACCACTTTGTCGGCGTTCGCTCGTGATCCAGCCTCTCTTCCCTTTTGCCCAAGTTACGTAACGCCAGTTTTATGGAACTAGGGGATTCTGCTGCGTTCCTAGACAATTATCGTACCCGGTGTTTAGAGGGACCCCGTTGCTCTTTCGACCCGTCGAACGTCTCGATTCCGTCTTCCAGCGGATTTACGCGGAAATGGAGAGACAATCTCGACACGGAGACGATGCAAGCGCGACACGTTGCGTTGACTATTCTGACGCTAGGATCGTGGGCCCGAAAAAGAAAAGAGGTATCAGAGGGTTCGGAACGTGAAAGGAGCGAGCGTGAAATAATTGATCGCGCATCAGGAACGTTCCCCGGGGCGATTACGTATTTGTCAAAATCTCGTTTCCTGCCGGTAATTGATGTTCCTCTATCGTCTAACGTCTATAATTTCGTGTGGAAATTTTTTCAGCGACACCCCGGGCATCAATCGTCGCGCGTTTTTAACCCGGTAATTTCTCTTAATCACGGTCTAATTCGTCCGGTTGAATAATAGGTGTATCGGTGTGGGACGTGCAGGTTTTTTCGTAGCGAATAGCCGGGAAGCTTACGCCGCGGTGCACGCTCCTTCGCTTTCGCTTCCGCGCCAGCAGATGGACACATTTTTCTCTGACAGATGGTGCTTTCACACGTTAAGACAAACCCGCGGCTACCAACAGAAACGGCTTCTTAATATATTACGTTACGCCCTTGTGCTTCCAATCTGTTATTGTACACCGCTTAATCACCATACTTCATCAAGCATGACTTCCGCGGCATGCATAATATCGCAGCTGATGAAGTTTCCTCGCCGTCCCAACGGCGTCTTCCTCCCTTCTTCTTTCTCCTCTCTCGTTTCATCTTTCTCCATCTTTTTTTCCACCCGGCTCGTCGTCTTCCTCTTCCTCTTGCCGCCACGTGTAATACCCACACGTATCGCGCGACGATATTCAGCGGTAATTAACTCACAAAAGGGCCTCCTCCGCCGTGTGTATTTTGTAACGAGATTTTTAATGACGCATGACCGTGGACAACGGCGTCGATTCCCTCGTTCGAAGCTCGAGTAATTTGCATTCGATGGAGCAAAACCGACCCCCCAACTTTGCTCTTTCCTTTCCATCCCTCGCGGATTCTCATGTGGTTCCAGTTACTTAGCCGAGCCGAGTTTCACCCTTGGTCACCCTGCTCGATTCCGCTTCAGGGAAGCGCGCAGCTGATCACAGGACACCGTCGGTGTGATACTCGATCCGTCACGCGGTTTATTATGCTTCCGCTGGATCGTCTTCGCCATTATTCTAGCCGGTCTAATTTGGCCGTAAACAATGCCAGTTTAACGCCCGGCCGTGACACGAACGATCCAACTATTTCTACCCTCTCTTTCTCTCTCGATCGTCGATACGTAACAGCGTTCGTAACTGGAAATGAAATATGGCGCAAGCAGCATAAAGCTCTTCACCGTCAGCACCGAGCCGCGAGATGGTTTGTACGATTTAATGCGGCCCGACGGACATGACACGTAACAACGGGTCGAGGAGCGACGAGAACAAGAAGAAGACAAACGTCTTATGCAAGCACTACCGAGTCGAGCTGGGCGTATAGCGGACTCGCAAGGTGGACAGTAAGCCGTGGAGATGGTACTGGAACGCTGGTACCTCGCGATCATCTCGTTGATGCGATCTGCGGAGCCAGGACCGGTGGAACGGCCGCATGATTCGCTACCTTTCCCATCTTCTTATTCCTTCTCACCTTCTCCTCTCCTCCCTCTGTCCTCTCGCAACGATACTCCGCACTCGACGATCGCCTCGTCACGCGTTCGCGGTGACCGGTATCGAGCATTTCGGCTCACGTTAACGAGTTCGATGGCTCTCGAGAGGTTCCTCCGTTCCTTCCTTTCGCGAACGTGGAAAATTACGTTTGCGGAATCGTGGTTACGCGATCGTGACGACAGAGCGAAATAGCAGCGAACGGGGACCGTGATCGGTATTAGGGACACTGCACGCGCGTATCGCGTGGTTGCTCCACGAGCGTGGTATAACGACAGTCGGGTCCGCCCCTTACGTCCAGCAAGCGCGGCCTTCATTGTTTGCCCTCGTAACGATCCACGGAAACCGAAACCCGGTATTAGTCGCCCACGTTCATTATCTCCTACCGGAATGTGGCCAGCGCACCGATTACCAGCGGGTCGCCCTTCCCTCGCCGGTTCACCCTCTTTCAACGCGGCCTTCGCGTCCCACGGAGGCTCGTCGTTGTCCGTGCAGCCATTACTCGCCGAGGTATTTGTTTAATTCGGGTCACTCGTTCGATTAACCGGGCCGGGCCGGCCTTGTTAACCGTACGAGAAGAATATGAAATGTTACAGTCGGTGGAGCAACGAAACGATTCGTAATGACAGCCACGTCCCGTAAGAACGGTGGAATCCGACATCGACAAAGGGAGGCCACCTTGCCAATTTCGCTTAAACTGCCGCTTCCGCGGTCGAGGGAGGCGAAGGTCTCCTCCCGTGCACGCACGGGGGAAGATAAAAGGAAAACGAGAACCCTCGGATGAGCGAACGCGATAAAGGGTTGGGTGTCCCCGCGGACGGGGTATGGATTTCAGCTTTCCTGCTCTGGTGACTAGCATAAATCAGCGCCACGGCGATCCTGCGGGGGCGTCCGACGTGTAAATGCTCGCGTTACGATCCGATAACGAGCGAAAGGAAGCACGTTCCTCCTCTACCCCTCTTCCCTCTTCATTCCGCTTTTACCATCCAATCTCTATCTCTCTCTCCCTCTTTCTGCTTCTTCCCGTCGTCGAATTCCCTCTTCTGCTCGTTCGCGGATCCCCATTTGCATAATATCCCTTTTTGATCCCGGCACACTAACGAGCCTACATTCAGCCCTGCTTCCCCGCTTAAATGCACGTATGCGAGCGCACACGCTCACCCGGGGCATTCCTTTCACTCCTCGCCCTTTGTCCACCCAAGGTAGAAACGTATCCTTAGACCACTCGACTACCGCCACGATCATTCCCTTCGGATACGAATACAAATACGAATCCACCGCTCTACCGTAGAGCCCCCTCCGAGAGTCGAGGATTCGCATGACGCCATCATCCCTCTCTTCGATGTCGCCACCCCTATGCCCAGTTCTTCCAACCTATTCTTCGCTGATAACGAGACGAAGCGTTTGCCATCATTGTCTAAATTCACGGATGTTTTATCAAAGTCGAATCTTTTCCTCGGCTTATCGCGGAATGGTGTTTTCGTGAACAAGTGGGATTAGTATCTCGGACGAATAATCGAGATATCGGAGAGTTAATTTGATTCGCGATGATGTCGAGATTTAGAGATACGAGTGTCGATCTATATAATTGGGAGACGGTGAACGGTTAGGTTAGAGATACGAGATATCTGACGGACCTTGAAGAGAATCGCCACTCCGACGGCCACGCCGGTGTAGCCGCTACCGACGATGGCGATTTTAACGCGATGGCCGTCCACGAAATCCTCCGGCTGCTTGCTGAGCAGGAACGTGGTGGTGTTGTAGGCGGTGTCGGGTAACTTCTTCTTGGGCACGGCCATCGTCAACGAATCCGATACTCGCGACTCAGGTGTAGCATCCCGAGGGGCGAAAATAGGTCAGGAACCCGGGGTATCGCTGCAACGATCCGCGGATTTCCCCTCCATCGGGGGTCAAACAACGAAACTGACAGCGAAACGTCGCATCGTTCGGGCCGAAGTTGCCCCGAGCTTCGCGATTATCGACTCAGTCGACGTTGATCGAAAAACTCGCGAAAGGTGGTCCGCGAGAAATTACTTTTCGAATTTCTTCATCGTTGGACAGCTGTCGAATCGAAACGCAGATGGGGTACGCCATTACCAAAGGCGTATGCGAATTTTAATTTCCGCTTTACCGGTTGCACGAGCAGAGTTTTTCGTCGGATACTTGGGATCTACTTACTCGCCGCACCGGGCTGCAGCACGAATATTAAATTGCTAATTGAACATCGCTCACCGTATTAACTTCCTTCCTCTCCCGCCACGCTACTACCGGATGTAGGTACTCGAGAGTCGAGTTGGTTACCTGAGTTGCCTTTAATCTTTCCACGAATAGCCCGACGAACAGTGCGAAGCAACAATACAATTATGATAAGTAATACGTTATTTCTTCCTCCCCCGTCGCGTTATTACCGGATGTACTCGAGAGGGTGCCGAGTAATTATCTCAGCTCTCTTCAATCGTGCCACGGATAATTCGATAGAAGGCGCGAAACAAAAATATTATCGCGATAAATCGTAACAAATTTATCAACGCTTGTGTAACACGTTGACTGCCACGCGCATTTTACGTGGTTTGCCCATGGCGCCAACATGAATATTTTATTATGCGATGCATATTATGTTGAAATATTATTTACAGCAGATAAGGTGAGTTGTATAATCGCGTTTAATGTATTTTTCGTGGTGGGGGTCACCGGTGACCCCCGCGGCGCTGTAGACCATTTTTGCCATTATCAATTGTTTAAAAAGCAACTCGAAAAAATATTTCAATTCCCGATTTTAGGATGAAGTTAGCGATGTATTTAGTGAAATGTTCCGATGACGAAGATTGCATTTCATCGAGCAATTACGTACAGAAAAAACGTCGGCGCGAATTTAAAGAGAAACCTGGAAGTGTGCGAAATGTAAGGCGATTTTGCAAAGTGTGCTATGAAAATAATTCAAATCAGCTAGGAAGAATGAGAGCAAAGAATTGCACTAAAAAAGTGGCGACATATCGTGTCGACTGTTTTGGTTCACCTTTTCTTTGTATAAATAAAATTATTTTTGCATGTCCTTTATGGCATTAATTTCTTCGAACCATTATAGTAACAATGGTACTATTTAAAAATTTATCGGTATCGGTATTTACTCTAATTATGTATTTTTACTAATGGTCGCGTCGCCGGTTACCGGTGGCCCCCATGGCAGTCAACGTGTTAAAATAGTATTTCGATACTCTCCCTTCGTCGCGGTGTTACCGGATGTACTCGAGAGAGCGTTGAATATTCTACCTAATTCGTCCTTATCGTTTTCTCCAATAACCCCTGACGAACAACGAGAAACGATAACAGCGACGATGCAGTAGCGAGTTGCGATAAATCGTAACCACGATTATCCGAACAAGGTTTCAACGTGTTTCCCTCTCCTCGCGCTAATGCAGGATGTTCTCGAACGGCCATTGAGTAATTGCCAAGACCCTCCGTGATCTTCGAATAACTCGATACACAAGGCGAAATAAAAATACACCGTGATAATTTATAACGAATCGCGTCCACCGCTGTCCGTAAATCGTTCCGAACATTTCCCCGGCGATACATCGCGTCGCGTGATCGACGCTGGATGATCCATCGACAGACGCCACAAACGGCTCATAATACGACACAAAGTACACGGACGACGACCGGTCGTTGGCGAGAGACGCGATAGTTTTCTAGGAAGTCAATTCCTGCACTGTCATTTATTACGCCGATCGGGTACGAGTACAGAGAACCGGTCGCCAGGTGCGCGCGTTCGTTATTGATGAAGACGCCTTCTAAAACGCAGCTTCCTCCGCCTGGAACTCGCGCGCTCGCCGCGTAATTTCCGGTAGTCCAACGGGCCGCGACCACCGCGTCGCGTTCCTCTTCTCCTCGTCACTCTTCGTCCCTATCGTTTCTCACTGCTCCGTCTCCCCGTTCGTCTCGTTGTTCGTCTCCTGCAGGATGCCGCACTCCCGCAAAACGCCTCGAATACTGTCAGCGCACGCCTGCACCGCGGACTTTTCCTGTTCCGATAGCTTCTGTCGCACGGTGCAGTACACACCCTCCCGGCCGATCACGCAGGGTACAGACATGTACACGTCCTTGTCCGTGCCGTGGGCGCAGCTCTGTGGACGGTGATTCCCTTCTGTCAAACTTTCTCATGCTCGACGAAATGGAAAATGCGAGAAAGATCGCGAGCGAAGGGATACGAATAGCTAGGAAGGGGTAGTTCCTAGTGTATATACTTAAAAATTGTAAAAATCGGACTCACGAGAATATGCGTGGACGCCGGAAGCACGACTTTGGTGTTTCTAACAATGGCGTCGACGATCTCCGCGGTGGAGATAGCGACGCCCCAACAGCACGATCCTTTCTTCTCCTCTAGTTCCTTGCCTCTGAAACGTGCACGCGGAAATTAGATCTAAACGATCTCGAGGAACGAGGGATCATCCAGCTCGGAACGATCGCTCACACGTTCTTCACGTTGTCCGTGATTTCGGACCACTTCTCGGGGTCGTCCGGCTCGCCTATTCTAGGGTTTATGTCTCGAAGCTTTATTCCGCCTACGTTCATGCTCGACCATATAGGAACTACGACAGAAACGGCGTTCAGTGTAGGATAGTTGATCTGTATTAGGTGTATTAGGGTACCAGCCATGTCCCCGTGAGACCCGACCGTCATGCAACTGACGGAGCTTCGCGCCACGTTCAGTCTCCTGCTCACGAAATCCTGGAACCTCGCGCAGTCGACCATGGTGCCGACACCTAGGACACGGTTAGAGGGAAATCCTGACAGTTTCCAGGCGATGTAGGACATCACGTCTGACGGCTGAGTCGCGACCAGCAGGACAGATTTACACGAGAACCTCGCTATAGCCGGGATGATCTTCTTGAAGACCTTCAGGTTGTGCTTCACGTTCGGACTCTCGCCAGGCGTGTTCTCGCGCGTGCAAATTATCACCACAGCGGATTCCTTTACCATGCTGAAGTCTGACGGTTTCGAGCCAAGTCGGTTATTAATCGAACGCAAAGTACAGTGGGATTGGGCTAATTTGATACACGGTACAATGGCCGACGCGTCGGATAATTCGGCACGTATGGCTGTCATGGGGAATCGTATTCGCACGAACAAAGAACTCGTAGCGTGCATCGAATTTGAACAGTTGGCGAATAGATTGCGCTATTACTTTGTCCATTGTCACTGTTACGAATTATTTTCCTCGTTATTCGATCATTAGAGGTAGCCCTGACACCTATAATTTGTCATGTTTCTAATTATTCTCATTTTTACGTTATCGAAGAGTTCCATGTGAAGTTCCATTCGACTTTACAGTCACGTTGGTCTCGCGAGCTAATATTTTGACTAACGTTGCATCGATTGCATCGAAACTCTCAGGCTACAACCGATCGAACCCTCGTTCTTGCCAAAGATCATCTTCTCGTAACGCGTAATACGTATCTCGTCGAATCCTAGTGGAAACGGTAGCGCCAGCATAGAGAAGAAACCTCCAAAATTCGTTTAACTCGCATTCGTCGAATGCTTATGCGAAACACGTCCCACCCGACCCGAGATAAGGGTACCAAAGAAAGGATCGTTAGAAGTCGGGCATCCCTTTCTGGAAATCTTCCCGCTGGAAACATCTCGTTCGGTGATAAAGCCATCGGAAGCTGGTGGAATACAAAACGCAGGCAGGGATCGAACGCGCCTTTTCTCCCTTTTCTTTCCAGCACAGGATTCTCTCTTTTGTCTCGAGAGATGCGCCGATAACCGCGAACGGTACACGCGCATAACGCTGTCAGAGGTAACAAGAAGCAGGGATTTTAGGTAACACCTAAAGCCTCGTGCGACCGTGTATCGCGGTAGAGATACGCTGCTTGGAGATGGCTCCAGCGATAAATTAGTCGGTAAAAACTCGAATCTGTTCTACTTGTTCCTGTAATTGCTACCTCGGACCGGATTGAACGGAAGCTGGGTCGCGAGATGGATAATTTGCGAACGAATCGCTACTCTGGTGGCTGGCAAACGGCGCTAGAACCACTTGGTCGTCTGAACTAAAACTTTCTTCTGTAAGAAGATAGAGGGAGAGCGGTTAGAGAGCGAAATCAGGATTTTAGGATTTTAGGACTCTTTGACGATGCTTCATCGATTGACTGTCACAGGTTGCTCATTGACCCTTTCATTTTCGTGAATGCGACATCTGTGCCCCCTCTTTCGCCTTGTCGTGAAGTCCTGTAACATCTTAGCTAAAGATACACTTGATGCTATTTCGAGTGCCTTACCTATTCGGTGACCCATTTTGCTTATACGTCCCTTCTTTATTTCCCTCAAATTCGAAGCTGAAGATTTACGAGCGAAATAATACAAAATGAAGCCAACTGAGACACGTGTAGCTGCAAATCGTGGCTCACGAAGTCGCGTGGTCAGGCCATCTCGGTAAATTGCCATCTCGGGACGTCGTTTTCACTCGGGACGATCGCGAGAGGAGCAAGCTTTTGTTCCCGAATTCCGGAGCAAGGTGGTATATTTTTTCACCGGCCGAGAGCACGTTTACCGCGCACGGATGACAGAAGGACGGGGCTCGCGCGAGTAACCGGGAACGGCAAAGAGAAAAAGAAATATGTATCGTGGAGTCGATCACGGCCGAGATAAATAAGAGTGGCACGAAATTTACGAGCTGGCCGGTGAAAAGCTCGGGGAAACGCTCGGTCCGTGCGGCCGCGTGTAAGCACGCGGCGATGTAGATGAGCGACGAGATTAAAGGACAGGACCGGGGTAGAGAAGGATCCGGATCTCGGGACTCATGACCGCCGTCACGAAAATTCGTTCCCCCTTTCGGGACTCTGTGTGACCGTTCTTTCTGACCCGTTGCACGTTGACAGAAGGTCCCTTGACGAGCAACCCGATGCGACGGCACTGTCCCTTTAATGCGTTGCCTCCTGATCGCGACCGACGCATCCCTGCCTCTCGATCCATCCATTCCAAGTTTCCGGAATTCGACCTGTCGCGCACTGCATTTATCACCGTTCGCAGACACGAAGAGAAAATTATCGATATAGATTTTGAACTTCCGACTCCGTATTCGTTACCAGGAGATGCTCAGATCCTGAGGATACGATAGAGATCGAGGTAATTGAAAACCTATGTATATAAGAACTACTGTCTCTACCTCGTCTACTTCGAAGATGACAAACGGGAAATTTAAATTTTTGCGAACATAGTTCATTTTTTCTTTGATCGTGCCGCGCGTACATCCACGAAGACTGGAAACATAGGTACGAAGAGCGCATATCAAGTACCTCGGGTACCAAGGCTGGCACGTCACCTCGCAACTGCAATGGCACGAAAGAGAAAGTGTAGCCAACCGCGACATCGTCTCGCAAGGTCTCACTGGTCTGTCATCGAGAAAATTAATAATTTTTCGAGACCCAAAGAGAGAGGACGATCTCTCTCAGACTGAAAGACGTGTCTCGTAGCTCTCGGGTCGATTTCAGTTTCGTTGAAAGTTCAGTTGCTAAAAGTCACTTGGATTGAGATATATAGGAAGCTACGGAGTACCTGACGTGCCAGTTACTAGGGGACATCCCAAAAAAACGCCGACGTGCTGGATATCCTCGGCCTCGGCGGAAGCCTTGTTCGCGTCGTGGTCGATCAGGCAGACCTCGCTGGCCATCCTCTAAAGATCACCGGGAATCAAACGGTTGATCGCGCATCGAGATCCGCGCGCCTCGTTCCGCGCCGATACTAACTCTCATCAGGATCGCGATGGCGCAGGCAATCCCAATCTTGCCTACGCCGACGATCGACACTTTGACGCGATGCGGATAAACGTCGCAGGGTCCCAGCTGGGTCGTTATCAACGCGTTCTTCGTCGTGGTCATGATCGGGGCATCCTCCTGCAACCAGATCCAGCCTCGAGTAACCCGAAGGGTAAGAGGATTCGCAGCGCAACGAGTTACACCAGAGAATGGTCTATTTCGTATTCTAATCACCGAGCTACTATAAAATTCAACGATCGTATAGCTAGATAAGATCCAAGACATAGCTAAGCAATATGGAACTGGTTCATGAATTCTGTAATTCATAATTTTTGTCAGAAAAGGAGAATTTTATTTTTCGTATGTTAGTTTGAAGCAATAGTCCGGTTTTCATCTAAACTGACTAAAATTTTGCAAAAGTTCCAATTATAAAGTATATATAGTATACAGTTAGATTGTAGATTAGTAGATTGAAATCCAGGAAATCCAGGAATCCAGGAAAGGAATATATTCGACCATTTCCAGATCCATTTTCATAAATTACAGAGACCACCGAATTCCCCGAAAATTCCCCAGAAATTCCCCAAAAATTCTGATTTAGCGCACGATTCGTCCCCGCTAATAGCCATCGCATTTTACCGATCGAGCTACTCTAAAAGCGAGCCAATCCCGATAACGAAGAACCCGTTTCCCCCCAACCGATCTATAATCCCTCCGTATCGAACGAACCAATCGAACCCCACGTGTGATCACTCACATCGTCGCAGCCATCCCTGTCGATCTCCACCTCGCTCTTCGCTGCTTCCGCGTCCTCCATGTCGTCTCTAGCCCTGAAATCGAGATCGATCGTTTAATTCGCCGATTTCATCGACACTGTTGTAGATTCAGGGTTATAAAGCACAATGCACATGTATTCAGTGAGATAGTAATTTTAATTAAGGGATATAATACAATTATCGTCCGATGTCTGGAACCATGGTAACGATAAAGTTCGACCGATTTTGTCCAATCATAGCGAAGAATAACGCGGAACTGACTGGTAAGAGTCAAAAAGGAATAAACGCTTGGCCCTAAACGTTACAAGCCTCGATTTATATCGGTTCCAAACGTCGGAGATGTCTTAGGATAAAAGTAATTGTAGGAAAATAATAGGAAGGGATCAGTTCTACCAATAAGGGAAGCGTTTTACTCTACTTGTACCATGATGTTAGAATGGTTAAACTGGTGGGGATTCGGTCCTACAAGTTTCTCAGATGACTTCTTTTCAGAGTATGTATAACGTTGTCTTACCGAATATTAGCCTCTGGCTTACCAGGTAGCTCTCTAATCGGGTGCAAGTAGAGACGTTGCGAGGAATCTGCGCGATCGTCAGCTACTCTTCGCGTTATCGTTACTGGCCGAAGATCGTCGAGGTGGTCGCAGTTCCTTAAGGTCGGTTCGTGCGCCAGGAGGTGAAACGGCAGGTAGAGGAAGGTCGGTATCAGGCGCTCATGCAGATCCGGATCAACCTACGCAGCAACGACGCGGAGTCTCACTCTCGGGTATTTCCAGGCTAATCGCGTTCCCCGTTAGGCGAGAGCGGGTGGCTCGGGCCGAGGAAACCCCGACGCGGAGAATAACGACGGAAGTTATCCGCGCGCTTCGCTGTAAATTAGCCGCAGGTAGTCGCCCCGGGAGCGCAGGTACATCGCGCCGGATTGTTCATATATTTCTGCCGGTACCCACGCGCCGTACCAGCCGGTGTAAAATACATTATTTTCGTGCGTCGATCGCGGAACCACTGTCCACTCCGCTGCGTCTTTATTTACCGGCATCTGGCGGCGATACATTCCGGATAGGTGTATCGGCAGGCTGTAAAAGTTCTCCCGCGAGCATTTTTATCGCGCGGTTTTTAACTCCGTGCATTCGTATGTCCGTTTCGAATGCCGACGAGAGGGGACGGGGCCCGAGGCTAGCGGGAATTACGACCGTCTACGAATAACAATTTCTGGTATTGTTTATCCCCCTGGCCATGTGTACGACGCTCGTCGCGCATTAGTCAATCGATAAGTCGATGTTATCGAACACGGTTTCGTTGCAACAACGCGCCTAGCGCTAGGAAGTGACATTCTTCCGAGGTGGAAGACACCTGTAGCAAGCTACTTGCCAAAAATAAACTCCTCGTCGCAGCGATGCGGGGGCGATACCTTCCCCATCGTTTGATATTTGTGGAGACGACTGATTCTGACCTGTTCTCGCGAATCATTTAGTTCCCTCTGTGACATCGAAAATTAATATCCTTCCACCGAAACGTTCTTTTCGATAGAATCCTTCAACGAGTACAAATTACGTCTTTTTAAACTGTATAGATCTTTATTGAACAGGAGAACTTGTTTTAGACAAAAGACAAAACGCAGGGAAAGGTATCACCCCCACATCGCTAGGATGTAGAGTTGACTTTACTATTTGATTTTACTACAACAGATAATGAGTGGAAAAATGCGTGGTATTATCGTTCAGTTAATCGATGTTATCGAATGCTTCTATATCGAAACTACACAAAGATAACGACGATTGTAAACAAGACAGTTGGATATCGCCGACAAAGTTTGTAAAAAGTCATGATTTTCCACGAGTACGATAGCGATGATATTTATAGCCTCCGCTATTATAATCAGTCGATAGCATCAAAAATTCTGCTTGGATATTTTCATACCGGTAACCTTCAGTTCGGTAAGAAACACTCGAAGTATACCAATGGAGCTGGATAAAAATTATAATTTGAACGATAAGTACGCGGGATACGAGGTATCGACGAATGGATCGATCGATGGTATCGACGTCCCACTGCTCGGATAACCGTTCTCACACTTGGAAGCACTGGTCGCGTCGGGACGGAGACACGTGAAGTTCATCAGACACTTCTCACGTAAGAGTACAGTTTACACGTGCGAGCAATTCGCGTGGACCCGATTCGCCGGCGAACAAAGAGCAACCGAACCCTCGGCGCGAGGCTTTCTCATTTACCTGGGACCCCTTCGATAAATTACGCCCCCTGTTTGCTCGGAGCAGCAGCAGCCGAGGCGTTCCCAGTAGTTGGAGCGTCGCGGGACCTTAACACACATTCGAAGATGGATCTTCCACTCGGTGGGGAAAGAAAGAGGAGGAAGAAGAGGAAGAGGACGAAGAAGAGGAGGAGGAAGAAGAAGGAGAAGAAGAAGAAGCTGGTGGCTTTTTTTCGTACGTGGTCCTCGCGAGGGAGCGCCAGGCCACGCTGTTGCTTCTGCTGCTACACCCCGGACACATTCAATTTTAACGTTAATAATCACCGGGAAAAATGACGGGCTTAAATGCGGCCATTCATCAGCGCCGATCGATATTGCGAATGCGGCTTAACGACGGAGAGATAACATCGGCCGTCCCGGTCCAGAGTTATTGAATCGCGTCAAATAATATACGAGCCAATAATGTATGAATAGTCCTGCAATTATGGGCCCGCGATCGTATCTAAGGGCGCGTTGTAATTTAGTAATCGTTCCTTCTCTCTGGCCACGATGATTCCACCAATATCGGGATAACGTTTCCTCTATTTAGGAAATAGGGGCGCGTTCACCCCCGATTCGGATCTCTTTCGCGTGGATAACCATGCGAGTCCACGTTTCTCGGGGAACTCGATGCCTGGAGTCATCGAAACTCGATAATACGTCTCGCGTAATTCTTCACGAGTCAGCGACGAGGCAATCGTTCGGTAATACTCGCTAGATGGGCTCGGTATCTATCAATTAAACGATCGGTCGGGAACGCCGAGGCGAGGAAGTAATTTAAAGTCCGACGTTTATAGTTAAGCGCGGCAAGTGGGAATGAAACGACCCGCTCCTAGATAATTAATTTTCCGTTTTAATTAATCATCCGCGCGATTTTATCGGCCGGGCTGAGTCAAGTAACAATAACGATCGCGTAAAAGCCAGCCCCTTATCGGCTATCCGGCTCGTTGCATCGGTTGATTTACTATCGGGGATCTATCTGTACCAATTAACGAAACGCTCGACCGACGATGGCTAATTTCCAGCTGGCTGCTCGATAATCCAACAACGGGGAACCGGCGGGCCCCCGTTTATCGCGTGTACTCCATTAAACGGGAGATAGGGAAAAAGAATGCGAAAGATAGGGCTGGCGAGCGACAATAACCGGCCATCGCTGCGGGCGTTTATGATTAATTGGCGCTGCAACTAGCGGACGCTTTTTTAATTAACCGCCACCTCGAAACGTGACAGCGGGAGTGCTGGAATCGGCCGCGATAAAGGCGCGATCGGTCGATAACGATGTCTCCCGAGAGGAGCGCGGAGCGAGATTCAGCTGAGCGAACGGTGCAAACGAGTCGCCTGCGAGAGATAGTCCTTGAAGGTTGGTCGTAAGCAACCGATCTTCTGGTACCCGGGCCCAGTCAACCGATCCAGACACCGGCTCGCGCATGCCTCCGGTGCACAATGCTTGGTAGTACTGCAGCTGATACAAGTATGTTCGCCGTGCAACCGGAATTTTAATTGGCTATTTGTTTGTCCGCTACACTTCGCGGAGCTGCTATTGTCCAGCCTGTGTGCCGGAGAAGAACGATCACCGCTTCTTCCCTTCCCTTCTTTTCCCGACCGTCCACCTCGGACCCAACCGTTTCGCCTTCTTCCAACTCCTCCTTCTCTTTTCACCGGTACCCCCCTTTATCCCACTCGTGGAAAGTATCTTTTCCGTCCAACACAGGAGACTTACTTCCATCCGTCTCCTCTTTTGTCATTTTCTTCGCGATGCTACTCCCCCCGTCGCGTCTAGCCCGTTCGTGGGTCTAGCGCCTCGAGTGAAGTACGATTTTTCGATGCCTCCCTCCCCCGTTTCGAGACGATCCAACGAAGATTAAGACCGGATGAAATTGCAGTTATTACGCCGAGGACCGGACGAGGGCCTGCATGTATAATCCCCCGTCACAATACGTATCGTTTCGCGGTACCACTTATCGAGTCATTAAGCGTTATGCGATGTAATTGCGCGCTTTTTACCGGACCGTTGGTACCGCGACGGACATTAATCATCGATACGATCTTCTTTCGACGCCGCCATTGCGAATGTCTCAATTTACTCGCGCGGAGCGGCGCGAGCGCGGCCGACTTCTCTCCTCGGTCCACCACGGATTTATCTCCGTCGAATCTAATTTCACCACCGCCACCGCCGCCTCCGCCATCGTGGTCGCCGTCGCCGTCGCCTGCGCGGTGAAATACGAATTTAATTCACCCGGCCACCCCCCGCCCCGGTCCCCCGTAGTCGGTAACGCGGCCTAATAAATTAGCGAGCGACAGGTCCGCGATTCGCTTTAATCGGCGACGCAAGAACCGACGCGGACCACTCGTCCGCTGGGTGGCTTGCGCGCGCGCACGAGCGAGCGAGCGAGTAGCCGTTGAAGAGCGACCACTGCCCGAAGCGGGCAGAAGGAACGCCGTGCTTTTTTGCACGCTCCGCAGAACTTATTCCAATTAAAATCGTACCTCTATTTTAGGTCAGCCTGCGGTCCGGCTTGGAATTAAACGGCCGCGCCCGGGCCCGCCGGAGAAAGCCAAATCTGCCAAATAAGCAACGAAACTCGGGGCTTGCGTCGCTTACGCAAGTAAGTGACTCGTGATCGTGACCAGCGGGCTTTTTCTATCGGCGTAATGCGTTTATCTAGATCTGTTTGGATAAATTGCCAGCGTTTCGCTATCTATCAGGTGTAAAGTAATACCGCCGCAGCCGCGGTATCCTCGCGGAGCTTGTAAATAGCGTGGAAATTAGAAAACGCGCAGGATTAACATAATT